TTACTTTACTTTTAGGGGCTTTGGGGAAATATTGGGGGTCCCTTTTAAAATAGAAAAAGTCCTCAATCTTTTTCTGTATCCCCTGTTATCAATGAACAGGAATCCTCTATACTGAGTGTTCTTGTTCATTCATAACATGAGGACATGGTATGTTTACTATAACTACAACTATGAATGAACAGGAGGGGCTGCAGATCACTCCCATTAATTCATATATACACATACCATGTCCTCAATTATCTACAAACACTCAGCGATCACTGAACGCTGAGTGTTTGTACTGCTCTCCTCTCTGACACGCTGTCACAGAAGGCTGAGCGAGCGGTGTAGGAAGGAGAGCTCAGCCTCCTGTGACAGCACGGCCTGTCTCCACACACACACCGCTTTGCCGGACTGTCATAGGAGGCTGAGCGGTGTGGGGGGAGACGCCGGCCGCTCACAGCGATCTCCTCCCGCAGCACTTGTCCGGCTATCACAATTTCTCTCCTTCCCGCTGGGACACAGAGCAGCGCCCAGCGGGGAGGAAAGAAAGAATGGATGCACCACTGTATCGGCAGGAAAATGGCACTTTCTGCATTTTGCCAAAAGTGCATTTTCGGCCGATATGTTTGGCCAGACGATATATCGGTGCATCCCTAGTTGATAGAGGACTCAACTTTATTCCTTAACCACTTCCCGGCCGTTATAAAAAAACGGCCAGCCAGGAGCTCTCTAGAGCCACGCCTCTTTGCATGCGCCGCTGGGAGCGAGCGATAAATGGCCAATATTTGAAAACAGGCAGCGATGCCTGTTAATATACAAGCGATCCGCCGGCTATAGAGCCAGTGGATCGCTTATATGAGGTCCCGGGATTTGCGCACCCCCCTCCACGGCTCCCCCCTCCCGCTGGTCCCGGGCTCCACTTTGCCCAGTGCGAGCCCGGAAACCAGCATACTGCCTCTGTCACAGGGGATCAGAGGGAGGTCGGTACACGACCTCCCTCCTGTCCCCTCTCCGCTGTCAGAATGCGAAACTGATGTTTATTACATCACTTCCACATTATTGTGTCACTCTCCAGCTTCAGATGCTGGAGAGAAGCTGATGAAGCAGATCTCTGCTTCATCAGCTTCTTTAGGGGGGTCCTAGGTGACAGGGGTCTTGGAGACCCCTGATGTCTCCATAAAGAGGACCTGTCACATCTTTTGCTGTCACATAAGGGGGTTTTCTTAGCCCCCTATGTGATAGCAATAAAGTTAAGTGGAAAAAAAAAATGTAAGTTTCCCCCCCAAAAATGTAAAGTTACAAATAAAAAAGAATTAAAATTAGTTTTTTTAAAATTAAAAGTCCCCTCCCCATACATACACACATGCAAAGAGGCGTCGGGTGCGCATACGTGCGAAAAAGACGATTTCCCCCATTACGCCACACATGTTCCATATCGTCGCGAACGTCACAGTGGGAGCAATAATTTTAGGGCCATCAATCACCGATAACACTAAACTGATGAGCTTGTAAAAGCTTTTAAAGCGTTGCCTATGGTCAATTTTGGGTATGGTAGTTTTTTTGCGATTTTGCGGGTGTGCGCAATTTTAAAGCATTACATGTTTGGTGTCTATTTACCCGACGTGACCCTGACTTTTATGTTTTACCAAAAATATGGGTAATAATCATTGTTTCCTAATATAATGGGGAAAAAACTTTATTCCCCCAAAATTTTCAATAATTTTTCCTTAATATAGTAAAAAATAAAAACCCCAGTGGTGATTAAACACCACCAAAAGAAAGCTCTATGTGTCCCCAAAAAATGGTATAAAATGAATTTCAGTACAGCGTTGCATGACGGAATAAACGTCAATCAAAGTACCGCAGCGCTGAATACTGAAAAATGGTTTGGCCAGGAAGGGGGGGTCTAAACACTTGGTCTTGAAGTGGTTAATAGTAATGTTGGGTATACACATGTTTTCTTCATTCAACCTGTGGCCTGAACAAAGAAAATATCACTGATTCCTCCATCAATGCTTGGGAGCCCTGTGCAGCTGAGAATTTTCTGACATGTTCCTTTGATCAGCTGATTGAGGGATGCCGGACGAAAGGGTGCTGACCTCGGCACCCATGCATCCAATTTTGTTTTGTTCATCAAGAATAATAGTCTTGTGTATAGCCTACTTAAGTTGTATCATCCCCTTGCTGTGTAAATCCCAGGATGGGATAAACAAAAATACAAATCCATTGGCAGGTAGACCGGTTCCCTTTTTGTATTTCCTCTCTGTATTTAGAGGTTTGCCTGCAGTTCAGCTTTAATACTATTTATAAATGTACAAGTCTGGTTTATTACACAGGTTTTGTTTTGGACTTTTTTGGTGTTTTTTTTTTAGCATGCACCGTATAGATAACAAAAAACAGAGAACTGTGCATTTTTTTTAAATGTCTATTCCTTTATATTACTTTTACCATCCAAGGGAAATGCGATGAATATTATTGTAGAATAAGCACATGGAGAGACAGCTGTGTGATCACTACCTATTAGCTAATGTGTTCTCTTTTTTGCAGTGGTATCCCCAACAGGTTCCCGTCCTCCAAGCCGGAACCGTAACAATGAGATGCCTGGGGATGAAGAGCTGGGGTTTGAGGCAGCTGTTGCTGCACTAGGTACGTGTATTATGAATACATATCAGCCATTCACATTTTGTTTAACTCCTTATTTAATTAGGTGATAATTATTTAAACTAACAAAACTTTAAAATGAGCTGGAGCTGATAAATATTAGATGGATTTCACACAACGTTATAACAGATGTGAATAGCGGCGAGAATGAGCTTATTTGTTGTAAAAGATGCCCCACTTACGCGTACATTTGAATCTTTTTTTTGTAACGGTTCTTTACTCTACTTTCTCTCCTGTCTTAGGGCCCATTCACACTGGATCTGTTGCTTTACGATCTGTTTATAACGGATGGCAACGCAAGGGCAACGAAAAATGAATGGCTGTGAATGGGACATCGGTGCATTGGATTGCATTACCATCTGTTGCACTGAAAAAAAAGAGAGCATGCACTACTTTTTTTTACAGAGCAATGCAACACACTGCGGCAGAAACGAATGCCAACACAATGCACTATAGACTTTACAGTGAAGTATGTCCAATCTGGACATGTTTCTTCACATAAAGCTTGTGCAAAAAAATTTAATAAATAGGAAAAGCAAAAACAATGCGATGGAAGGCAATGGAATTGGAAGTTACAATAGCAGGTCAACAGACCCTCCGTGGATGTGTGAGTGCCTTCCTATTTTGGTGTGAATAGGGTCTTAGTCTGCTGCTGCAAAACACACATGTATGAACCCTTCATTTGATGGCTTCATATATCATACTGCCTCTCGGCTCTGAATTCAATTAAAATGACTAGTGTCATCCTGTTGTCTGCATAAGGTGGCTAAAGAACTGCTGATCCTTGTCTACGGTCATCTAATGCAGGCACCTCCAGTCAATCTCAGTGTTGGAGGGTGTAGTGGTCAACAGGATGGGTCTCTGATTGAAAACCTAATATAAGACTGCCTTGGGGATCAACACATAGAAATGTATGTTCAAGGGCAGTACAGACTTGTACTGTATATACTTGGACTTCTCTGTGGGAAAAATTATGACCAATTCTTGCATTTATATATATTTCCATACGAGCAAGAAAAAAGGGGAGATCCTGAAAAAAAAACCAGTAATACATCCATTTTTCATAAATCATAACTTTCCAAACCCAGCCCCATGCTAAATCATTTTATGTAATTTGGTATAATATGGAATATTTTTGTGGGGTTACACTGCAGCTTCAGACCCGTTCACAGCTCTGACTGTATAAAACGTGGAAAACCCAGCAGTGGTCACGTGACAAAAGAAAAAAGGACTTTATGCCTTTAAAAAAAATAAATGTAAAATGCCCACATAGAAATAACTTATTCGTTAGTTAGAGAAAAGGATTCTTTACATCTGCTTTAATAATAATATTTTGACGTTTTATTAGTAAGATACTCACCACCTGTTATATTTAATTGTGTCTAGGGCTAGGGACCCCTGCTTTAAAATCTTGTGGCTATGCCTGCTATGGTAAACTTATTATGCTGGTACATAAATGCTGATGCAAAGAAAAGCTGTTGCTCTAGCATTGAATGATTTTTAAAAAATGTTTGTGATGTGCTTGTTATTTAAAATCGAGTGGTCGCTATGGACAGCAGCTCTATGATTCCTTGCTGCTACTGCTTTTTGACGTGATCCCTCATGTAATCCTGCTTCCCAGGCTTTTGAATTGTTGGATGGATGTTAATTTCCTCGCCATGCTAAAACTATGATACAGATGGCTGCACTTGAAGTGTGACATGCACAGCTGCATTATATTTGATTTATGTACCAAATGTAACATGTTGTCTTGGCATCCATTCAGTAGTGTGTTTATGTCTAGCATGGCTAATAAATTAGGCTGATGCAGAATTGATTTAAAACATAAATAGTTAAGACATGGCTATTAGTAGTTTCATGAAGCAACAGCCGATTTGTTGCCTTACCAGTCAGGAATGTATGTGTCTCCTCTCTTAATTTGTTATGATAATGCAGACCCCCGCCCCCCCCCCCCCCCCCCCCACACCCCCCTCTC